TTATTATTATTATTATTATTATTATTATTATTATTATTATTATTATTACGCGTGTTCGGTGTCCGCAGCCGCGAGTCGCCTGGTCGCCTGGTGGTGTATTGGTCGTTAGTCTTCGTTTCGAACGCCGTTTATAACATCTAACCTGTAGAACAGAAAATGTAACACAACATGTATTAGTCAACGCTTGTATAGAACATAATAATATATATTATAATAACAATAACCTACTACCACGAATTTGCAGAGTAACAGCGAAAAATAATGATCAAATATAAATTATAACGGTGTTTTTAATTAGGTACCTAACTCACGGTACGATTTCGTTTAGTCTATCGACACGATCACCGTAGCCTGTAGGTAAGTATGAGTTATAATTTTTTTTTTTTTTTTAACAGACAAACGTGGACGGTTTATAAGAACACTGCTTTGTACCTGATATCGAGTATCATATTACTGTTTACATTGATATATCCATTAATACATAATATATTACACATTGATGTCTTCAAAATTAATGCGAATTGTTCAACAGGTCTCTCGACGATGTGGCGCATCGTGTACATATATATATATATAAATACTATATTATATCGTGTATTGAGTATGACAAGTAATGAGCACTGTTAATCAAAAGTTGACGACATATTATAATATTATACATTAAAAAAAAAAAAGAAAAACCGGCCTAATAACCGTAGTTAAAAAAAAAAAAAAAAAAACAGTAGTTGATGCCGATTGCATGTGTCCAACGATGTTGGAAGTAGTTTTTAAGTAGGCATATTTATATTAACACCAAAATTATTATTATTAATTATTATCATAGTCTAACACGGGTCTCATATAGTATATTTAATAGTAATGTGCCAGTAAACTATTTTTTCTTTTTATTTTTTTCTTACACTTTTCTGTGCGCTTTAATTGTTATTATGAATTTCATTCGATTCTACAAGTATTGTAATATTTTGCGAGGGGGGGGGGGCGAAATCGTCCTTCAAATTTCACCCTTACCTTATTCAATATGGAATAAGATACAAAATAAAAATTATATTGTATTATGTGTTTATTGTCATTTTTATATTATTGCTCAAATAGTTTAGCGATGTAATTAATAATTTATTAGGTGTACCAATTTTTATAAATATACATACATATGTATATATATATGAATACAATATATAGTAATTAACGCCAAGCTAGTGGCATAATAGCGTATACAACCTTTTTAGTTTAAACATATTAATTTATTGAATACATTTACGTACCTTATAATGTAATGGACGGAAGTAATATTTTAGACATTTTTTCTTGTTCATCATGTATTTTATATAGTGATTTTAATTAATTAGGCATATATATATATATGTGTGTGTGTGTGTATATATATATATATATTTATAAACGTATAATAATATATGTATATACATAAATAATACACGTGTATATATACATATATATATATTTTTTTTTTTGTACGTTTATTATTATCATTATTATTATTATTATTATTATTATTATTATTATTATTAAGATCTTTAAAATATGTAAAATTTGTGATATTTGAACCTTGTACTAGTCGTTTTTTGGATCTAGTCTTATTTTTAATCAGTATATTATATATTTTAATAATTATTTACGGATTTAATTAATATATCAGATGTCGTGACATATTACTTAAATTTAATATTCATCGTTTGTAAGTCTTCCTTTGTAATAATAAATTTAAAAGCGAAACATCATTAGAGAGTATACGAGTAGCACCTAACCATGACTGTCTAACAATGTAAATCGATATGTTATTTTTATATAACAAGATATAATTAGACGTGTATTTAAATAATATAACTTGTGTAAATTTTGTACAATTATCGTATAGGCTAGGTCTAGTCATGTTTGGTTAGTCGCCTAGAGTCAACGTATTTGGTTAGCTTAGGCGTAGATGATGTGATTAGCGTTTGTATTTATTATTATCATTATTATTATTACCATTTTTTCTGTTAGTTCGAAAAAGTTACTTCAAAATACATTTTTTACCCCATAAAAAAATATATATTAACCAACCGTGTTTTTTTTTACAATGTGTATGTAATACCTTTTATTTAAAACATTAATCTAACATTATAACACTAATACTTCGGACGAAAAACCTTTTAACAAAACTTTTGTGTTCTAATCATTTTTTTTCAGTTCTAATACGAATACATGGTAAGTTCGTGAAAGTGCTCACACCAAATTTGCATCTTGCAATTATTAATAATATTTAGATACCAGATACTCCGAAATGGAGTAATTGTGTGACAAAGTTCATTTTAATCAACTAATTTAATAAGATTTCAAAACGATTTTTACTTTGTTGTACTTAGAATGGCATATATTGAGAAGAACACGGTTCAGTTGACGAGGTTTGTTCGATAACTTTAGTAATATTGACTTGATGTTGTTGTTAACTGTACAGTGTTATCGTTTGTGGTGTACTTTGTTTTACGAATTTTTCAGGGGCTAGGTGAACTCGAGAAAATTAAGAAAATCGAAGTCATTTCAACGTATATATTTCCACTATTTTTACTCCGATGGTATGTGCGTGTGTTACATAATTTTTGAAATAAATCGATAATTTTTAACTTAAATGATACAGAGTAGTATGTATTTAATGTATTTAGACATCGTCACTTACACGTTTCACTCGAAACGTTAATATATGTCAAATATACTCGTTAGTTGTTCTATGTCTCAAAGCAAAATATTATTTGTAATTAATATTATATTAATCATATTTTTAATGGAATAACAGCAATGATAATCATACAAATGCTACTCTAACCACACCAATACTGCGAGGAAAAAAAACCGTCTAGCCCGTTGAAATTATTCACAGTGGTACAACAATATATATATTACAAATTTAACGTTAACGGGAAGACAACAACATTGACTATTAATTAAACAGACAACAACAATACCGAAATCAATTTCAGTGAAATCACAAGACTGAGTTAAAATTATTTTTATACTTCGCGTTGCCCTAAAGACGATAATTCATGTACCGTACATCGAACAAATTGTTCGTACAGTAATACGATTATGTACTCATCGAATACAATAATTTGCTAATTTTAAGAGTCACTGCCGAAGACACAATATGAATAGGTATGAACATTTTTATTTGGAATAGTTTTATTGAATTGATTTTTTTGGAATTCAATACGACGTATGAGTAGTTGATAGTTGATACAAATAACGTTAATAATAAATGCATCATAAACAATATTCTCAATCGACTGGTAAAATTCTTCGGAAATATTATAAAACGTGATAACTTGACTACAAATGATAAATTTGTTAATGGTGTGTATTAACTTAAGAGAAAATAACATTTAAAATGCGTATACTTGTCTGTATGTGTGGATAAGCTTACCGACATACTATCTAGTCATTTCGATAGTAGGTTATTGAAATTCCCAAAACAGTAATATTCTTAAACAATTTTTTTCTCGATACGCACTAAATCAATCACGTTCAAGTAAAATAAATTAAAAAAAAAAAAAAAATGCATTCTGAACATTGAAGAAACAGGCTAAAATTAAAACGGAAAGATATTTCCCAGTGGTAACCTTATAAATAAAAATAAACTTAATTTAAAATCATTATAATATGAGCTAGCCCTGCACGCAAAGCATATAAATAGATAAATATCAGGTACTTGTATTAAGGCTGATTGGAGTAAACTTACGACTAAAACGAAATGTAACGAGTTTTTCGTCTTAACTGTAAATACATACTAATGTACCAGTGTACCGCATAGGTGAGTATCAAAGAATGAAATTTTCTGAAATACCGTAAAAAGGGCAAGGAATACATTAAGCGTATTATGTGTAATCAAAAAATTGATCTCCGAGTCAGAGATCGAAACGTATTTTGTTAAAATAAAAGAATATTTTGTTGAACCATAAGAATTAAACATTGAATTTAATCAATTGAGTGCATATGATCATTATTTTAAAATATGGGTACCACACAGTGTTTGGAAAAAACGACGTTCGTGAACGCACGTTCACGCGTTCACGTTCATATTTTGTAAACGAAACATGAACGTCACTTTTTTTTTCGAATAGAACTTGAACATGAACGACGTTTATATTTTTAATGGATTTGAACGATTTTTAGGACGTTTACATTTATTTACCATTTAATAATTATATAATAACATTTTTCTATTAAAATTTTTATTACCTATATTTATTAATTTGATTACAAATTATAAAGATATAATCGTGGTATTCCAGTGAGCCCGTTTCGAAATAAAACAATTTTGATAGGTATCTTTTTATGCTCTATAGTCTAAATTATGTTTTTTTTGTATTGATTCATTGATATTTATGGGTTTTATACACAAAAGTAATAAATAATTAACTTTATAAAGGTTCAAATTATACAGACTGCATGTAAGCGGTTAATAAATATAAAATTATAAATTAAAATGAACGACCAAATGAACGCATTCATTTTTTCAAAGAACGTGAACGTAAACGAATTCAATTTTCAAGTGAACGTTCCCCGAACACTGGTACCATAAATACGTCGAGTTTGTATTTTTATTAAATTATTATTTTTATTGAGATTTATAATAAGGCTAAAGTTTTGAATTTGGAGAGGGGGGAGCTCAATACCTAGTTACGCTACTGGTTCTGAATTCCTGCAGATGTGAATAATAGTCGACAAGCCCGTACCGAGCAACCGGGCAGATGCACGACGTGCCCATAAAAATTACGATGCATGATGTGCTCATAAAAATTACCGCTACATTAAGATTTTGAAGAGATATCCATTGTTTCTCATTAATAAATAATAACCCCGTGGTCTTCAGTAATACGTCATTGAAAAACGTTTATATTTTTGTGAAGACAAGCGATAAACCTAAATTATGATTCTTTAATCTGTAATCTATTGGGCCATAGGTAACTTGAAGGATTAAATAACAAAAATTAAAGCGCCCTTAAATATTTTCGTAACTGCCCTATAAGAGCAGCCAGTACGGACCTGATAGTCGATATCAATATTCACGATAATTATTTGGTATTAGATTAACATTGGACTCCTTACGGACAACACGTGTAAATCCCTGCCAGCTGCTAAGCTTCGTGGTCTTCGGTAATAATACCGAAGATTAAAATACTATCTGACTAATGGAAACTACAGGAACAAGACCAATCGTAGTGCCAAACTCTGTTTGGTAAAATAAAACACTACTACGATCAGTGTTCACAGTCGCAAATAGACGAAGGATTAACGTCCTTCCAAACGATTCATAGCCTTACGAAAATATATCGGTTTTACAAGAGAAATATGAAACAAATTACAATTATGAAAATAAAAACCCAACGATTTAACCGGTTCACTTATGAGAATTCATAAAAAAATAAGTAGTAATTAACAATGTGTAATAATACGAAATAACAAGATCAATGCCGAAACGACAGCAAAGCGAGTGTTAGACAAAGGTTGCTAGTAAATGTTTGTAGGTATCGATGACGGACTTGAGAAGTTAATACAGCGGTTCGTTTAGAAGTGTACGTCGCGGAGTACAGACAATTTGTGTTAAAATACATAAGGTTTGTCGCGCACTCTCACCACCCAACCGGTTGTTTATAGACACCTATATCCAAATAGTAAACTCCAGGGGACGAAGTAAACCGTCGTTAAATGTGTAGGCACGTACTCGAAAGTACTCGATCGGGGGCAAAAAAAGGCTAAAAGATAAAAAAAACCATGGACGCAATCTATGTCAACGTGAAACGATCTGCTACACGACTGACGACCGCCTCCGTCGCGCGGTGGCATCGGCCTGAACCATACACGACGTGTACCTACAGACTTGAGCTCTTCAAACATGTGTCACGAAATTCACAGGTCACGCGAAATACGTGTTTAACCAAAATATAAATCCATTTTTTATAATGGTAAAATTAGTAATCTTATGTTATGTACTTGAAGTTATAATATAATAATACATAATAATAGGTTATACGTTTTTATTTTGGATTTGACACGTGAATTCAGTGAATTCACATGTATTAAAAGCTTTACTACAGATCATATATTATGATGTATTTATTGTACGTGGGTACGTGTATATGTTTTAACATTTGCATTACATAATACAGCGCAAGGACAAGTGGCAGCGGTCGGTGTAGGAAAATATTCATGAGAGACTGATAATGAAACCCGGCTCTCCATTCCGTCTACAACAGCCCACTCAACGTCCCCGTACCCCGCACAAAATCCACCGTTACGATTAAAACTGTTGAATAACTGTTTATACATTTGAGGCCTACAATGACGAAGAGAAACTGAAGGGAAAAAAATGTCAATTTTGTTCGTGATTGAACAATGATTCCTAACTCAGTTTCAAAGTCTCCCCCTTGAACAGTAGTATCAGTCTTGGCAACATTATCGGTACCAACGAAATACGATACAAGGAGTATTTCATAGACGTATTTTAGGGGGGGGGAGGCGAAGGGGCGATTGACCACACTGAATCCGTATTTAAGGAATCGATTATATGTTAGATACACATTTCACATTTTTTTGGATTATGTGGATCATTTTATAACGAAATCAAATTATGCGTGGCTGTGAATACTGAATTGGGCTTTTTTTCGGGTCCATATTTAGTGAAAAATCAAATAAAACATAGACAGGTGTTAAAAAAGAACTACACAAAAGTCGATTCAAAGTGGATCCGGATTAGGCTATAAAAATAAAAATCACAAACATTAAGGATTCATCTGATTTAAATATTATCAAAAATTTTACTTGTAAATGTTGAGCCTGAATTAAAGAAATAATTTAAGTCATCCCCCCCCCCTAGAAGTAAGTCTAAATACGCCCCTGGAGTATTTAAACATATTGTAGGATACGTGCGCGTGCGCGCATACAAGAGAATTATATTCCGGTTGTATTATACTTGGGTACTTGGGTACACGAGTAGAGTTGAAGCGTATACACACAATGAACAGCGGTTAAGGGTGCCGCGCTCTCCGGCGTAGGGTATAACGCGCGCGCAAGCGTCTCCGTCGGTCGTCACGACAACGCCGCCGCCGGTACTCGCGTCGAGAGCGGTCCCTTCGAAAATTGGATTTCCCTGTGGCGGTGGCAGCAGCAGCGTAACGCGCCGCTCTTCTAACCAGATGCTATGACTGAGATCTCTCACCCCCGTTCGCCCCGACCGCATCAACTACTTCGCGACGGAGTAAATCGCGCACGCGAGCCGTGTACTAACCTCGAACCGTTACGTTCTTCCTGCACCGCCGCCGACCCTTCGGCAACAACTCCTCCCACCCACGACTCGTATCAGACGGTTAAACGCTACTTCGGATTCACCGAGTTCGCCAACCTCTGTCCGCGGGAAATTCGAAGGGTTCCTACTAGGGCATGTACACCGTGTACGCGCGGTCCCTGCTTCGGGTTCGCCGCGAGCAAAATAAAAGAGAATTCCTCCGCAGGCGCGCGCTCGTATCATCGTGTTGGACTGCAGCACGTCGCGCTCGTTAGAACTACTCGCCGTGTACCCGTCGGAAAAACGCGATAACGGGTCGAAATGGCTAGCATAATTTACCATCACATGCGCACTCGATGCCAATTAAATCGACGAGTTTAACGACTCTGCCACTCGTAACGCCGTTAAAACATTGTACGTATTACACACACGTACAACAAAAGTATACATATTTACACGTGATTGTAAAAATAATACGATATTTTACATCTAAACGTTTTACGCCTCGATTGTATGCGAACGTTTTATGGAAATCGAATATTACACGGTCCTAACTATCGAAAAACGTATAATAATCCAATTACGTGTATGATTCATCAAACTCCCATTATTCTTGTCGCTTTTCAACAATCAATCGGCTTATCGGTTTAAAAATGATCCTCTAGAAAGAACAGTTTTACTTTTACAGATAATTAAATATGATCTCTGGAATAGATTGAACATCACTTTTTATCCAGCTAATCAATTTAAAACTGCTTGATATTAGTCAAATCGTTAAGCTTAATCGGGAAAAAAAGGAGACCGCAGTGAACCTAAGAGTTGAAGTCAGTGGTGAAAATACGCTATATATTTTTAGGTTTACTCTCGTGTAAAATTGTACCAGGAGAGGCAATGAAGTACCAGTTTATTGATTAACAAAAAAAAACCGTCAGTTATGAAATAAAATACCTTCATTGTATACTCTCATAAGTTTATTATTAATAGCTTTCCGCCCTACATACTATATGAAACTATAAACCACGGTAAGAGTATTAAATATTTTGTCGTGCACGCTCGATTAATTTCGAAAAATCTAAAGGTGTAAATTGTGTGTGAAACAATTTTCCAGAGCGAAGAGTTTTCGGTCTTCCAAGTGCTTTGATTATGCACTTACGTTGCTTTTAAAATGTAATTTAAAATAAATAAAACATTCTCGGCGGCTCGGCGTCAGTATAAAAAGCATTTGTGGTATGACGTTATTAAATTTGAGGACGCGTCCGCTCAACCGACGCCCATTGAAGTTTTATGAGTGTGGAAAATAGATAAATATGACGAAAAGGGTGTGACCCGCTGGACGGAATGTACAAAGATGGGGTGAACATGATTTTTTCATTAAGCTAATTTGGAATTGCACACGGAATACCGGGAAAAAGAAAACAGGTGGCCGGAAGAACGTGCATCGAAAAGTTCGGTCACGAGCACTCTCGTCCCGACCTTCATCCCCGTCACCATAAGCCCCCACTCGCACCACACACACACTCAAATACTATTACGGTAGTAAATTTTAATGTGTCATTTTCGCACTGTAAGCCGGAATCGTATTTATTTTTATTTTTTTTTTTATTAATTGTGTTTACCTTCCGCACCGGTTTGTAGTCCAGATAACTCTGGCTAATGGTTGCGATTCGTGTTCACAGTCTTCACATAATGCATCAGCACTCGCTATTAATGTACAGGTATATGCTGTGCGCGTTGAACAAGCATATAAGTTCAAGTAAGAGTTCCTGAAATAAAATTACAATTTTATAGCAACAATTCGTGTGTGTCCGAAACTCGTGTTTGTATATACGATTCGCTGACGGTTGCGGAGACGATATAACGAGCAAAAAGTCCTCGCCTGACTTGAAGAATATGGAATTATATGATGATGCGAAAGATTCAAGAAACAGTGCACAGTAAAACACAAACTACAGTCGTGAAGAGGGAACGAACATTTGCAGACGATAAATGCGGTAATGTAAGAGCGTTCGGACAAGGAACGAACCTGGAATTTAGAGGCTAAAAGGATTGCCGATCATATAGAACCGAAAAATAGACTTCTGAGAGGATTTAACGTACGACTCGTTTCGTGCGGTGAACAAACACATAAATCTCTTACGTGGCAGTGGTCTCGTGGTAAATACGCAACAGTTCTTTCCTTTTCGACGACCCTATGCATTGAGGTGCCCGTGATATGTCTGGTGAAACGTTCACTGTTTAGTTCCGTCCCTGCTGCTGGCACTTGTGTCCGAGTCGCAGATTGCCACCGGATAACGAACGTAAACGTTCCTCCTCGGTACGGCCTGTCCACGGTCGCCGTCCGAGTCACACTGAAAACGCTTGCAAAGGAAATGCAGGGCCGTCGGTTCGCAGAGATGTCGTGCCCGGTCGCCGTTGCCGTCGTCGTCGTTCGCGCGAGGGTCGCCTCTGCAACTCGCGCGTTCGCACCACAACTCTCCTATCCTCCCCACTCTCTTATCCCGTGCACGCCATCCCTTCCCCACCCGCCGACCAACAGGGAGCCGCAACACACTGCAGGTGGAATCAATAGCCGGACGGGTGGCGGGGCCGGAGTGGTACTTTTCCCTTTTATTCCATTGCCCCACCATTCCTGCCATCGCCAGAACCGTAGGGGAAGATTATCTGCGTACGCATACGTACATACACAAACACACACACACACACACACACACACACACACACACATATATATATATATATATATACACACACACACACACACACACATATACTGTACAAAGGGGTGGTAGCGTAGGAAAGACGCGACCACACCCTTCGGGTACATGTGACCCCTACGCCGGTCCCGCGCACCGCTTGTGCACGCCGTCGGTCGGTTCTCACTCAGCGTGAATGAAAATATTATGACTGCGTACGCGCGCACTTTCCGGCAGTGGCAACGGAGGCGGTGGACAGCAGGTCCCTTCCATTATTCATAATTAATTTTTCCAACGCGACGGCGACAACGGAGGGTTGTGCACGGGGATGTTTAGGGGAGGGCGCGATTTTGTCGGGCGATATTTCGCCGGCGGAATCCCTGTGGAGCTCAGTGCCCCCTAGTGTATGTATTGTAACGTTACATTGTACGCGCGTAAGACGATATAGCGGTATATAGATATATACTTATAAATACATGGTGTAGTAAAATATTGTACTTTGCATATAGACACTATTGTTGTGTAACCCGATTGATTGACATCCGTGCTCCGTATATCTATACCTATATAAATATGAACTTTTATATTCGGCCGGTTCATAATGTTTATATTATATACATATTTATATCAATCCCCGAGTACGAATCGCTGCGGTTTTACAGTCGCCGAACGTGACTGATGTGAAATCAGTTAGCGAAAACGATCGTTGCATGGCACTCGAAAATGAAAATGATTCACGGACCGCACGATCGGCATAATTATACTTACATCTCCGCAATAGATACAATACGTACGTGCAATGCAACGTCGCGAACTACGAATTATTTTTCAAACCGATTACCGCCCGTGCACTTGAATATTTACCACGTACTTTTTTTTAACAAGTGCGGATGTAATCGATAGTCGGTGGCAAAGGAACGACGTGAAAGACGGGATAAAACGTACTACCATGGATTAAGTGTCACGATCAATATGATTTGGCAATGTTCATAACCTTAATCCACAACCGTAAATACGGTAAGATGATCATTATCCGAACACCGAATAAATTGCGTGAAATATAATCCGTAGAAATAATTATTAAATGTTCGTCCAGGCAGTGATTTCGCTTACTTCGATGTACCTACCCATAGGTATCGAACAGTATTAATCAAATTGCACGTTAACAAAAAAAATGGAGGAAAAGATAATATTTGAATCTATGCCGTTTGTTACAAACACCTAAACACATCGGATATCTTGTTACACGATACATCGAATTAATGTACTAAAAATGTAAGCCGTCCGAACGCGCACCTGCAATCACCCATCCAGCCATTGATTAATATGATCAACATCCCGTATGGAGATGTTTAAATAAATTTTTTCTTCAACCTTCTCTGGAACGAGAGCGTGTCGACGGCTAACAACGAGTACCAACGCATGTACCGTAGTGAAGCGCGCGTGTGTGTGCATCGTTGTATATATAATGTAAATACTGAACGCACCTATACAATTCTTCGGAATCGCGGAAATTTGGAAAAATCCTACGTCACTGCAGTACGAACACAACGCAGACTTCACGTCATACGACGACACAGCGGTTGATGCGTGCACCACCACTCGACCGCCCCTCACCCACCCCCGTACCGTTTGTAACGGTCAACCCGTCTCTGTGCGTATGCGCAGGACCGTGGGGCCCGGGGGTATATCTTTAGGTATATCTTAATTTTTTCTGCAGTGTTCATTAAGTTCTTATCGTTAATTGTGTTCAATTTTTAATAATTTGCAGTCCCTAACTTCCGGGCCCGGGGGGATCATCCCTTTCCTTCCCCTTCTCGTCTGGCCCGCGTATGCGGCACACACGCGTGCCTCAAGAACGTGTCCGCAACACCACGGGATGTACGTTTATCTCGTAGTCCGCGACGTTGCACCAACCCGGTCGATCAAATCGTCCCGGTACAAGGGGTAGGATGGAATCGTTGGCACGTCCGCGAAATCGAAACGGCGCGCGGCCAGTACTTAATGTCCGAGTACGAACCGTGCACATGTATCCGTGCCGCGGGTTCACCGATTTACGGTACACCGCGTTTCTTGGCTCCGGATCGCATTGGAATAAATCGACATTCTATTACAAGCTGGCGATATATACATATACGCGTTTCGAAATCGTTTAAAACTTTCGAAATAACGTTGGAAAATTTGTCGAAAATGATTTGGTAAAATATTAAACAAGTACATAGATTTGCTGCTAAAAACATATTACGTTACTATAAACACCAAGGCGTCGATCATGTCCGTGTGTTATCTACTTAAAAATATTTTATACTTCGGTCAAGAATCTATGATAGTATTATATTGACATAACGTGTTGTACTCGAATATACTATACGCTACACAGAAGTTGGTGATAAGCAGGACTCGGAAGTTGTAGCACTAAAAATGTTATTCTTAAATATGCACTTAAAACTCTAAAAAATGTGCCTTAAAAAACACGAAAAATCAAAAAATATGCATTTAACTTGAAAAAATTATAAATTTATTGTGAAAAAAAATGTAATTTTACAAATTTTTGAGCTCATAGACACAGTCTGGACTGGTTGAATTATAAACTGTTAACAAAAATGTTAAATTACTAAAATATATTTGTAAAAAATGTACATATTATTAAATTATTTAATATATTTACCTTAGATATTATCCCGGATTATTAAAATGATTGATAATCTAATTCAATGATATAATAAAGGAATAACAATAACGTCATTAACTATTAATACATCAAATTGTCGATGAAAACATAAAATAAAATTAGATAAGGTATATTTATTTCCAATAATTCAAATATTTTTAAAAATATAACCAAGTAAATACAATTATTATCAACAAAATATGATTATTTTCTGTAATAAGTGAAAATATACCCGAATATAGCACTATAAACCCTAAATTAGTAAAATAGCAATAAAACCAGTAATTATGCAAAAAATAGCAAAATTAAATTTTTTGTATGATACCCGAGTAGTGTGAAACATAATTGCATCTTACTTTGGATGTTCTAGAATGAACCAAAAAAAATATGCATTTCCTAGAACTTCCGAGCCCTGGTAATAAGCTATATTCTATTCAATTTTAAGAATCAAAAAAATAAAAACACTATAAATAAAACTATTGACAAATTTGCCAAGATTGTAAAATAAATGGCTTTAAATTTGTAATATATTTTTTAATCATAATATAATAATTTTTAATTTTTTAAATATAATATGAATAAATCTTTTAATAAATTATTTTTGTCTTCGAGTATATTTAAGTATAATAATATATTATGAGAATTTTCAATTGATTTATTTATAATTTAATTTATAATAATTATAATAATTTAAAAATAATTAAATAAAATTACAATAATTTATTTACTGTCCATCGTTACGCGAGCAAATTACGAGCGTTAATATTACCTAAGGCTTAGGTCCTAAGCGATCAAATTACAGTACCCAAATTTCCGCGACCATTTTAACACGAACAAATTACTGTGACTAACTTACGTGATACCACACTGACACTTAGTCTCAGTTATAATGTGTAAATAAATTGAATATTATAATATAATATATAATATCAATTTCTCGCATTATACAATTATGCTAAACTACTATCTAATCACGACATGAGTTTATAACATAATTTAGTGAACGGACCAGTGCGCGGTTCATTGTAGCTAATTTTTCTGAAAAATGTACTTTTTTTTTAATTACGGTAATTAGATCTCGACTTTTTATTATAAATAAAAATAATTTTGTGAACGCTCTCATATGTCATGCAACCCTATATCGATCGAAAATAAAAAAAAATGCCATCGTCTTTACGTAAGCTCTTGTTCACAAAATTTGTGAACAAATATTATTATTATAATTCATATAATTATTATTTTATTATTATTATTAATAATATTTTATTAGGTCATTTAATGTCCTAATAAATTAAAAGCACTTGTTAAATAAAAAAATATCCTGTCAAAAAGTAGCGAAAAATTAAAAATAATTGACACGCCTAATCAAAACCATGTTGGTTATAATTTACTATTCTAAATTGAGAAAATAATTACTCTTGAACCTTGACACTTTCAACGTCCATAACTCATTTGTGGCACAAATAATATTATATATGTGCAAAAGTGGGCAAGTTAATGAAAATAAGTAACTTGAGTTAAATTAAGGAACACAAGATCGATAAGTTAAAAGTTAATAGTTAACAATTCATAAATTTAACTCGATAAGTTAAAAGTTAAGTTATAAGGAAAAAAATATTAACTTATCTCAATTTAAAAAAAATTAATTTAATTTTTTAATTAGTATATAGATCATATAAAAAGCGACTGCGTTATTTAGAAAGATCTAATTTCCTAAATTATGATAAACAATTTTACTGCATTTTTTATCATAATATGAAGTGTTTGAAAAATACTATAACATTGTACATCAAGGGGCCATTCACTACCGTTTTTATTTAACTTTATAGTTAAAATTCTTTATACATAACATTTCCACGGTCAGAAACAAATAGCCAAAGGTGGGCCCCTCTACAAAATCTAATATGATGTCTGATGTACAGTGTATGCGACCATTTTACTTTACAAGATTATTTAATTATTATATTATTTATAACGAAAAATGTTAACATTTTTAACTTGATAGATCATT